GTTTGGAAAAAGTGTTTAAAGTCAGTGTACACCATTGGACCCATTGACGTTCATTGCATGGACAAAAACAATAGAAACATTCTTCAAAATATCTTCTATTGCATTCCACAGAGAAAAAAAAAAAACTCGACACGAAAATACATGAGAAATACACGACATGAGGGCGAGTTGCAATATTCATTTTTTGGGTGATGCAGTTTGAGTAGACAGTTTCCTACTCGCGTACAAGGCATACCAAATAAAGTCAGGCTTCTTAGCACATGCGTGCTATTTTCAAAAGAAAACACACACATGAGAACATATTATTGCTTGCTGCATTATTCATAACTACACTTCTGTTCTGCACACATTATCCAACACTATAATCTGAAATCAGGAAGAAAAAAAATCCCACAGAGGACCAGACGAACACCAACACCATAATCCTGCCTGTTTTCCTCCACACCACTTCAGGACGTGGTTCATTTAGTGCCTCTGCCATCCCATCACAAAGACAAAGACCTGATGATAATCTGGGCCGGTAATCAGATCAAAGGAATGATGCTGTTGACGTGCTTATGACAGGCTTATGCACGCATGATGCATGAAAGATGCCCCTAAACTCAACCTGAGAGATTAGAATGATTGCGTTTAAATCTCCGAGCACTTGAGTACAAGCCCTTTCCTCCGCACAGCTGATATGTTGCAATCCAGCTCAAAGAGGGACGGCTTGAACTCTCCTTAGGGAGAGAAGGAAAGATCGCGGCTTTACATAAGCTGGACAGCGACATACACCTGTGAGGTCTGGCCAGATTAACAGATGCTGTGCTTGAGATTAGCATTCAGATGCAAGAGGAGAGAGAAATTATATGCTTGCGTAAACAGTTGTTCTGAGAAGCTGCTTTTTGGATGGAAGAAACTGCAGTGATATCACGAAATGAGCAGGACCTCGCCCTTGAAATCAACAAATGGCTATTTGTTCATTATTTCTTCACTCATACCTACAAATGCTCTAAAATGCTTTTCAATTTTACAAGCTGAATGCCATAAACTCCTTCATGAAACGACAACATATTTCTCGCCGTTTGTTGACAAGGTTGAGCAAACTGAAAGACAAAGTTGCATTATTGTGACCAGTTATCAGCAAAAATCAAGAAAGTTTCTCAATGTGCACTAAAGTAATCTTCCAGACGCATTTCAAAACAATGACGTAAAATTAAAAAGATAGTTCACCCAAAAATTAAGTTATGATTGTAATGTAATTCCAAAACTGTATGACTTTCTTTCTTCTGCAGAACACAAAAGAAGATATTTTGAAAAATGTTTCAGTGGGGGTTTTTTTTGTCCATTTTGGACCCCACTGACTTTTATTGCATACTCAGAAACAGTACAAACGCTCTTTAAAATAACTTTTGTGTTCCACAGACAAAAAGGAAATCATAGAGGTTTTGAACGACATGAGGGTGTGTACATAAAGACGCAAAATTAATTTTAGGGTGAAACATACGAAATATGGAACTAGTCCTTGAAATCAACAAACTGCTTTTTGTTCATGTTTCTTCATACCTAAAAATGCTTAATTTCAAATGCATATCATATATATATATATATATATATATATATATATATATATAATATTATATATACATACATACATATATAACCACAGTCACACATCAATGGTGCTGATATGTTGAAATTTACATTATCTTTTAAAGTACTTCCTTATTCACAATACCGTAAATCATCCAACCTGCTTCACGTAAATAGCAGATAATTTTTTCCTGGCATATGAACAGAAGACCAAACAATAAAGCTAATCAATAACTAACAAACCAATTGGTCCAGATCCAATATAGCCTGTAAGTACTGTTTCAGTAGTTCATTAGTAATGAGACAATAAGGCACTTACAGACATTCTGATCAAGATAAAAAAGCCCCAACTACGTGCGCATGTGGACCTATATTAATAAACAATAACATACATTAAATAATCATGACTTACCTTCAATACTTCCCCACGTTTAAAACTCAGCTCATCATCTGCAGTTGCTTTGAAATCATACTTGGCAATGGCCTCCATGATACAGCCTGATGGACAGCTATGTGGTAAGGTACAAAGCAGTGGAAGATGCCTCCTGATGCAGTTTATATCCCTGTTGTGGACCAGAGGACCAGACAATGAGATCTCAATAGCGATGATGAGCACAGATCCAAGAAGACACAATGATCTCCACCTGCCTCTCTCTGTCTGTCAGCCCCGCGTCTCTCCTCCCGTCGCGGTCCTCACATAAAGATCACGGCGAGAAACCTGCGAACAAAGTACAGTCTTTCAGAAAATCCGATAGGGCTCGATAGTGTTGATCTAGTGTTCTAGATTGTTCAATGGGCCGCGCCCCACGATACAACAGGCATTAAAAAGCAAACGCTCCCCATAAAAGAGGAAGGAAACCCGTCTTCTTGACGTCTCAAGCGGCCAATTACGCGCCGCGGCCAGAGCGGACCGTCCAATCAGATTAGCGCGTCGAAACGGCGTCAGTCAATCAAAGCCATAGAAGGGGCGTCAACACCCAATTGGCTTCCCCCCGTTTGTTGCTCGACCAATAGACGGTCAGAATTTCCCAGCGTTCGCGAACGCAAGGCTCGATAACGTCATAGCGCTATAGAACGTGCACAGAATAATATTCTTTTGAGCAAATATCAAGGATTGCGCAGACATAAGGCAACGAGTAAACGCAGCTATGTAAACGAGCTGTAATATATTATCAGATTTGTAGCAGAGAAAATTGCGTAAATGACACCGGAAATGCTTTGGATGTTATTTAAAGCATAGGCTATATGTTATCGTACATTTTAATCATATCGATATCTTACATAGTACTGCAATTCAACAGGCAGCATTTGACAACGGCGCATTATTGTCTAACGCTCGAATCTCGAAACAACATGATTTACCATCTTATAACAGAACCGCATAATGTTTACAACATTCATACAAAATAAATATTAATCTTAAACGGCAAAAAGTGAAATTGTTTACCATTAGGCTATATATATATATATGCAGTAACGCTGCATAAAACTAACTTTCAAAGTCTAAATATTACATGCAAGTTTTTAGAGTAGTTATATTCACACTGTATCTTTTAAATGATAATAAAAAAATAAACATGATTAATTCCAGTACAGTTCCGAAGGTTCTAGTTTAAAAATCCCGTGATATAGCCTAACTTTAAAAAACAACACATGAGAACGCGTTCCTTCTGTCAACGTCTTGTCAACATGTCTTGAAGCATAAATTCCATGATTTATTTAACATAAATGAACAGCGGTAATGTATAGGAAAGCACAGAGGCCTTATGGCCTTTGCTTATGTTAACGTGGAAAAAAAACATTGACGCTGGCAGTCAGAGAAAAGCTGTAGTTTCTTATACTCACTCTTGAAAACAACTGTGAGGGCCAACACTCGCTCTCTCGTTTTAAAGACCCTAGAATCCACTCTAATTGTCTTTAATCGTTGATGAGGTTGAGCTCTTCTACCTCGCCCGACTTGAAATGATGAAAAATTGCTGTATTTTTCTGTTTATTTCCGTTTCCTCTTTGATACAGCGACGTCCGCACGTTCAGCTTCCGCCTGCCCCTGGTGGATGAGTTGAGTCATTACACAATAACTAAGTCCAATAGGCTGCAGCATAGTGCCATCTTCTGGTCAAACATCAAGAGTGTCTTAATTTTACAGGGAATAATAAACATCTTTGAGAGTGTTTGTCACTGTCTTGATTATTGAAGCTCAGAACATTGCTTGAAACTGCATCATATTACACTTCCCTTAAGAAAATTAATCATGGTTTTACTACAAATAAAACTAAAAAACATAGTTACGATAGTTAAACCATGGTAACCACAAATTAACCATGGTTTTGCTACACTAACCATAGTTTAACCATGGTATTTGTAGTAAAACTGTAGTTATACAAATGGTTGACAATACGTCAAAAACATGGTTACTACACTTTTACTGTAATAAAACCATGGTTAATTTTCTTAAGAATAAGACTCAATATAAGAATCAAATGGTATAGTGAAGGCCTATTATTATTAAATGTGTAAATTCTGTAGTCTACTTTGTCATACCATTGCATTGTTGGGGAGCTTGTATTTTACATCTGTGTATATGATGTTGTGACAGTAAAAGTGAATGGATTTAAAGTAGATTTTATAAACAAGCAATAGATCTAAGCCTATGTAGCTCCTTATTTTAATTGGCATGAGTGAAAATGAGACTGTGAGCGATAGATGCAGAGGTTCATTTGACTGTTATTGTTTAATAACATAGCCTATCGATTGTTCAGCTACCGAAACTTCTGAGAAATACTTTGTGCACAAAACTTCATAAAACACTTTTGAAAGTTGTGAATTGTGAAAATTACATGGCCTTTACACAGTGCGTGTCATAGTAAACACTTTAAGTCTACCATCACAGCCTCGCATATGGCATCTAACCTGATTAAGGTCTATATTGCTGTATATTGGCCAATAATTCTTTTCAAATGATGCTTGACTTTAAAGTCAGATCAAAACCATGGCATGTGGTCCACCTGCAAAATTATCCCTCAGCCTTAGTCTTTTTCAAAGAGGCTAAATACTTAAGAGTATCAATTATTAAGGGTTTAAAAATAACAATTAATGTACTGTGCAACATAGCCCCCTATAGCACATACGGATTTATTATATTTTAGTTGTGGCCTATGTATATATGAAGAGTTTGGTTCCAAAACGCTATAAATCCATTTCGATTAATTTGAGTAAAAATGTGTTTTCTTCACCAAGAAAGTGACAAGATGAAAACCACTATTTTCTGTTTCAAACTTTCACATAGCATCTTTAGGTTATAATAACATTAAAAATTCAAATCCAGATTTTGATTTTCAAAGATTTATTATAAAATGTTAT